CAAAACATTACTATTGCCATAGAATATACATCATAAAAACGATATCCTCTTTGGTGAAAACCTTGAATGTCTCACGCAAACTTTGATGAAAAGTAATCAAATCTAAATAATTCGTTTCCTTATTTGTATTTCTTTTCACTTCGGTTTTACACACGCACGCACACGCACACGCACGCACACACACACACACACACACACATATATATATATATATATTTACATATATAAATAAAAATCTCTTTCTTGTAATATAACATACCAACGTATACATATGTTTTCTATATTTCAGTAAACGTAATATTTTTTAATATTCGATTATAAAAAAATTATTCCAATTATTAATTTCATTAATTTAAAAATTACTTATTACTGTTAAAGTTTTTGCGCAAATTAAACAAAAAATTAATAAAAAAAAATAATGAAATACTTATCAATTAGAAACACACCAAAATTACTGCATGAACCTTTAAATTTAAATTTTTATTAATTTTAAATTGATAAAGTGCATCTTTCATTTATGTTACTGAAATTATTTTATTATATCTATGTAGATTTATTTGAAACGTAATTGAATATTTTTCTCAATAATATAACTTAATATATCGCATATTGACTGTAGAAAATATTAAATATATTATCGTATCATTTCCTTCACCTTAAAGTTTATATATTTCTTTGTACATAATCTCAATCAATAAAAAAAATTTTTTTTTTTTTTTTTTTTTTTTTTTTTTTTTACTACTATTAATATATTTAAACATATTTGATTAATATCTCTATCTTCGTTCAAATTTAATCGTATAAGGAGGTTAGTCGTATTATTACCATTATACACGTACGCTGTCTAGAAACAATCTGAACTTTAACTCAAAGAACATTATTTTACCTGCATTAAATATTGATTAGTCGAACGGTTTAAATTGACACTGTTATCTAGCACAATTGCCTTCGAATAGCTATACATCGACTATGATAGAAAGTAAAACGTATAGATGGTTAATACCAATTAATTGCGACAGTTAAATAACAAAATGATATTAAAATACATTTAAAGCCAAGTAAATCGTCAACTAAAAACCTTTAAAATAATAATGAAAATATGAGATTGATCAATGAATAGCTTTATGTAGAAATTCAGGAAACCGACGAATCAGTCAATACAGTTAAAAAGTAAATTGAATTCTATAAAATAATAGTATACGGAAGTGAATTTAGAAGAAAAAAAAAAGAAGGAATTTAAAAAATGTAATATACTACACACGGTAAAGAATTTCTAATATCGATGAAAATTAATAAACAATTATGTTGTATATATATATATATATATATATATATATATATTGCATAAATCATGATTAATCTTTGATTTTTTCAAAAATTTATTCAATTAAAACATATTTTCCTTTATCGACTACTATTTTATTCTAATTTTCATTCTATAAAACTAAACTACTTAGCATCTGGCCATGCTTTTATAATTATATAAATATTCTGTATACATTGATGTAGAAACCATAGAAATATAATTTAAGATTGGATAGAGTTTTAAAAAAATTAACTATTTAACAAATGAATGGTCTATATGGAGATGCCATAATACATTAGTGTACCATTGAATATGTACTTATTGAACTTTAAACGATAAAATCTTTCATGACCATCTTTCTTGGATAAAAATTTCTCTAACAATTTAATGTTACATTACATAGATATTCTCAAGTTTTTTTTTTTTTTTTTTTTTGTACAATGAATAACTTATCTTGTTATTGTGAAAATAATAATGTAAAAGTTGTACATAACTCACTTGACGTTATATTTATTACTAAAAATAAATAAGTCAATGTCCAGTTTTGTTGTTGAGTAGATAGCAAAATAGATGCCATAAAATTTGTACTATAATCCTTTAATTTTTTTACTTAATAGTGACTGTTCTTTCTTTCTTTTTTTTTTCTTTTTTTTTTCTTTTTCGGTGGTCTTATTACAGTTTCTAAAATGTACAGATTTAATATCACATTATTCCTCTCGCAAAAGGAATAGCAAATCAATATAATACAGAATCAATATTTCAGAATTCTTGTCTTGTAGATAATATCCAACTACGATTAAAGTTAAGGTAGTACTATTTTATTCAGTATTGTTTTCATCTGATTTTATGAATTTTGAAACTAGATTCGCTTTACGTGTTTCTATTTTATCGCTCCACGTGCTTAAATTTAACACTAAACAAGTTTAATCGGCATAATGACTTTCTTACTTGACTTATAAATACTACCTTATCAATTGCAACATATTTATACGCGTATCCTAAGGACAAAACTCGTATATTGTTTATTGTAAATCGCATTACACCTAATAATACAAAGAAAATTAGCTTCAAGTGCACTATTTTTAAAGTATACCAAAGCAGTCTAGCAAGCATACTTTTTGTACTTATTGTTTTAACGAGATTTAGGATTACTTATGTACAATTTTGACTATGTTATATATTGATCAAATATTGATGATTTTGTTAAAATAAAAATATTCTTCCAAAAGAACGTCCCATAACAATGTGCGAGTTTTATGAGTATCGTTGTAATAATTGAAATCAACATTAATAATAAAGTAGATGCTTTGATGACCGCGGGAAGTTGAATATGTTCGTTAAATTCGTTAATTGTTTAAGACTCAAATTCCAAAGATTTTTGACGAGAGAAATTATTTAATGTATACATGCAAAACTAATTTAACTGTATATAATTATACAGTTATATACTTAATTTATCATGGTATAATCTTCAAATACCTAGTGAAAAATAAAAATAAAATTAACAAGAATATAACGTTTAAACTTTGTCTAATGTCCCCACATCTCTATACTTCTTATAACAATAAATTAGAAATATATATATATATATATATTTTCATCGCTTTTTTGTATAATTTTTATAAGAAATTGTATAAACGGCATTCATTTTAATTTAAGTTATTGGGCATATTGAATTATGTTTGCTTTATTAATTTTGATTTCAAACGTATAAAGAAAAATGGTCGTTGACATGTGCTCTAATTACAGTCCCTCTAAAATTTGAATGAAGGATAGCTTAATAAAATATAGCTTAATGTTGAATATTGTATAGTGAAATGTAATATTATAAGCTGTACGCGAAGTTCATGTTATCTTATCGTAAAAAGTAAGTATAACGAATGGACGTTGTAGGAAGTGAATAACGAACGGTAGTATACCTCTTTTTGAAATGTCTTAAAGGTAATCGAATTGAAAATAGAAGAGTAAAAAAAAACAATTTTCATAATAATAGGAATATTATAAGAAATTTATTGCAAATGCTGCAAGGAATGTAAAATTTCATTAGTAATTGTGAAACTTGAAAGCCCATTCGGACACATAAGCTTACCCAACACAATGATATACATATACTAAAGTAAACATTGATAAAAATTAATAAATATAAGCGTAAATGTGAATACTGCATTCTTCTAATATTACAAAACATTATTTTTACTTTGAAAAAGCATTGAATTTTCTTAACAAATACAAATTTTTATTATTATGTCATCGTGCATGCAATAATTATTTTGTTGTCCGATGGATTTTTAGTTGCTCTACATTATGAAATTCAAATATCGTTAAGAAATTTTTTTATTTTTCACTTAAAAAAAAAAAGAAAAAAAGAAGAAAAAAAAACAAATATAAATAGCTATTGTCTTTGCTGTTATAAAGACATATTCGTTAATCCCAATTTTTCTCATACTAAACCGTAATATTAGAATTGATTAGAATTGATTAGAATGTAGCAAGTTGAACTTAGACATTACTAAACATTGCTTTATCATTCGATTAATTTCAATTAATTATATAGTATAAATTAAGTATGTATAGTTTAATCAAATTTCTTACGTAGCGCTATTTTATAAAATAAATATTTTATAAAAATTATAGGCTAAATACTTGTTTCATCACATTATGAATTGGGGAAAAAAAAATTTTTTTGATTTTGTTTGTTTATTTCGTTGTCATTAAATTCATAATATACATATTTTTCTAAAATAGTTTATATCGATGTTGGCGAAATTGATTTGATCAAACTTATATCTTAAATAATTATCATATTGAATACGATTATTTAAATTAAAGAAATTTCATATCTGATAAATAATTATTTATTTCATTGAACAAGTTAATAGAATAAACAATGGCTCGAGTATGGAGAGTATACGTTTTTTTATATGTATATCAAGTCTTAATTCAATTTAACTGGGATAGAGAGGTAAAAATACAAAAATACGTGTAAAAGTTTCATAAATAAGATAAAACTATGTAGGAGATGTTTTAATTTTTTAACTAATGAATGAAAATATCAATTATGCATGTAAATTGGATTATGTGCATATTTTTATGTAATGTTATCTTCGATGTGGATGAAGGGAAAAGCCGTTGACCATATTAAGGAAAACGCGATGGTTCCAATAAGTCTTAAAAAATATTAATTTTCATCGTTTTCATACATAAAAGACAAATAGCGGAAATTATTGTTAAAATTCGATTATGTGGCGGCATATCGCGGCATACCTTAAGTATTAATGAAATATTTATATTATTACAACCGCTCGTGAATAATTATCAATAGAATTCAAATTTTAGAACGAGTTAGAATAGTAAAGGCACTTAATAGATGCTTAAGCCCTCTTCCTTATAAAATCTAATGCAGATACAAACGAGATGAAGGCGAGTGATATAGCCATAACTCGTAAATAATTTTGAGAGAGAGAGAGAGAGAGAGAGAGAGAGAGAGAGAGAGAGACAGAGAGAGAGAGAGAGAGAAGAAGAAAAATATATATATATATATCGTTTTAAAGCACCTGGTAATTCGAGATAATCGGAAATCTAGTCTTTTGTTGTACGAGCGAGAGTGTATAAGGGGCCTATTTACTGAATAACCAACTCTCCGCAACAGCTACGAACGCGCGTGTACAGTGTACTTATATGCAATTGTAGTCGATGTTCGGATTCAGTTGTTGGCGAGTCGCGTAACAGTACGGAGCTTCCTTCTTATTAACGGCCAAAGAAAGCGATACTGTTGTACGTCTCGCCCTCTTTCTCCAACTCTTTTCCTTTTTTTTCTTCCTTTCTTTTTCTCGGTAAGATCACTCGGACATATCTGTCGGTTAATAGGTTAAGAAACCTTATTGTTTCGCTTGCGTTTTCACGCTCGCGATCGTATCACGACGAAATCTAGTGGAGTGCGCGATACACTTTTCATTTTGTTTATTATTTATTAATTAATCGGCGTTACATGTGGATACATTTGACAAATTAATTCGAGTGTGTACATAAATCAAGGAAGTACGTATATGGATTTAATTTTAATAGAGCCCTGTATCCTTTAGACACTAACACAGAAATTGATATGTCGTAGTCGGCCTTTTCAAATTAAACATTTCATGCATTGATAAACGAAAATTGAAGCAACTTGTTGTAAAATATTTTATTTTTTTTTTTTTTTTTTGTCATAATGAATCTCAAGGTTTATCCAAACAGTACTTAAATAAAGCAAAATTTATTTATAGGATGCTGTGTCGTAGATGAACAATATTTATCGTTATTTTCTATCGATGTCTAAGTAATTTAGAAAGATCTTTCCTAAAACGATTGATAATATAATTTTCGGAATTTATCGTGTAATCTATAATATTTAAAATAATCGAGTAATTTGAGTTTGAGAAATAAGTTTTAAAATAGTATTTAACCAATTTTTCTTATGTATACCAAATAACATGAGCAGACATCATAAAACTAATACACGGAACGATAATTTTGTAATCAAATAGCGCGATAGTTCACCTGCAATTCATTACAGAAACTACATTAATATCATAAACTGTAAATTTCGGAATTATTTGTTGTAGATACATCGAACTGAATTTACTAAATATTTTATTCTACTTATTATTATGGCTTAACAACCCATGAATAAAAATCTAACATATAATTAATCTAACATTTAAATTTTTACCGTAGGATTAAATAAACCTTATGTTACACTAACTGTATTTATTTTATAATTCCATACCTTTTAACAAAAAGCACTACTACCAAAGCCCTTAGTTACACTACATCAAACGATAGACAGTGAAAATATATGAATACCAAATAAATACTTTTTCAGTCGGTAAAATTATTAATATTTTTGTAGTATACATGAGTCTACTAATATAAAAGAAATTCAAAAAAAAAAAACTTTTGAAGTGAAAGTAGAAAATATATTGACACCCGGTATGGTGAATTCATTATATTTCGAATCTGGATTTAAATATGAATTAAATTAAACTTTGAACATATTTTTAAATAATGTATATATATTATATCCTCGAGCTTATAATAACTATAATCTGAATTCATATTAAATGTATCAATTAAATTTTCTTAATTTATGTTATTTTCATTAAAAACATATAAAACAAGCTTAACACAATTATACATAACAATTATTGTACAAACGTCGATGCAAAAAATTAAAATTTTCACAATATTTTGATAATATGAATATCGTTGAAAAATAAATTCAGATTGTGCTTAGATTTGGTAGTGCGAGAGAAAAGTAACTTAATCACATTAAACTCATAGTGCAGTTAATTGAAATAAGTTCATTTGTTAATAAATTTAACAAATAATATGCTGTAACATAGCTTCTTTTCAAAATTACAATAACTTTACATATTACTATTATAGAGATATTTAAATTCGTTATTATGCTTATATCGTTTTTTTTATTATTTTTAACAAATTTATTTGCACTAAAGTATAGTTTAAATATTCGCCAAATAACGATATTTCAAATTAAGTGCATGAGGAAAGAATTTTCAGTCAATGTAACTTAAATTATATACATGATGTTTGACATCTACCAATACTTATATATAATTAAAGTATGTAGTTGAGATTTTGTGTGTAAAAAATCTCTGGCATAAATCGTTATTTGATTTTCAATTGAAAATGACATTGCATTTGATTTTATAATTCCTAAAGATGTCCGTGCGATATTTAAAAGCATTCGTCGTTGTAAAGATCCTTTCAATTAATGCCAATACTTTCAAATCTGCAGGATTGACTTCAACTTGAAAATTAGCTTTAAGGAATGCACAAGATAAGATGCGACTAAATAGTAATTCTTTTAAATTCGCAATATCGATTGCGACATATCAATGTTCAATGTCGTAATGAGTTTGAGCGAAATTTCAGCTAGCAGTCGCATAGAGTTTAGCGGAAATCGTTTTAGCGTGCTGCTTCCTTGGCTCCCCAGTCCTGGATTATCGCTACAGATAATATCTCATTATATCCCTCAAGAATCTGTGTGAATTATCAGATATTCCTAGGCCAAAATATAGACACGCATCTGTCTTATCTCTATCTAAAGCACGCCGATGCATGGTCCGAGTCGATGATGTGTCGAGGACTCAGGAGGGATTCGACGTAAGCCCGGCCGCGTTATAAAAACTTTGTACGCCCGCCCAATGGCCATGAGGGCGGGGTGACGTCATTGCGAAAATTGAAAATCAATGAAAATCTCAAAGGTAAAAGTCAAAGCGCAGAATTGAAACTGGAGGGTGCGTCGCTCGTGCAGCGGTCAGGTCGTAAAGTCGAGCCGCTCTCAAATCGACGACAATCGAGACAAACTAAATAATCACCGAGATTATTGTTGTCGACGGCCTCACCAGAGTGAAAGTGACCCGCTCGTATTCTAACGCCGTGCTTTTTATGCCTTTTTTTTTTCTCTCTCTCTCTCTCTCTCTCTCTCTCTCTCTCTCTCTCTCTCTCTCTCTCTCTCTCTCCCGCGCCATCTAGCCTTGAATGTCGACGATTAATGGCCGTTGCTCTCGGGGGCCCCGACCACGCACCACGCGGGCGCGAAAATTATTCGCCCACTCAGCAGCCAAGGATCACGGCGAAACTTTTCTCGCCTAAATCGCTTTTTTCTCCCGCGCAATGCCGGCTCGCGTTAGGTAATGACTAAGAGGTGTTGGATTTCGCGCGATTTGACGAACGGGGCTGTCGACCTCGGCACAATTCCGACTTTCGTGTTTTGTCCTCTCGTGAAAAATTATCGATACGCTCGATTATTGCAACTCGAGTGGTTGGATTTGGTGCAATCCACCTTGTCACTTTGCCTACGGCGATCCAAGGAGTTTTTTTTTTATTTTTTTTTTTTGTGCAATCCACCTTGTCACTTTGCCTACGGCGATCCAAGGAGTTGGATAATTTAATTTTTCAATCTAAATATTTCGCAAGCATATACGATCGAAATCTCGTGCCTACTTTTCTTTTTTTTCTTCTTTTTTTTTTCTTTTTTTTTCTTTTTTATTTTTTTATTTTATTTTTTTATTTTATTTTTTTAAGATCGCTAGCTTCATTTTCTACCGACTTAATGATTTAAACCGATGTTACCGCATTAATGCGATTAATTAATATACATTTGGCCGATTACGTGCTTTTCATCGCTTGGCATTTAGATATGGAGAATCTAAGAGATTCATTATAAATCACTTCAGCGTTCAATATGCAGCAAACTCTCGTTGCGCTTATACTTATTACGTTGATTTGATATTTAGTTGTTGAATACAAGTGATTAGTAATTAATAATGATAATGAATTTAGAATGCTGAGCCAATTTATTCAAAGCTGATGTTATTGAATTTAATCGTTAAAGGACAAGTGTCGAAGGGATTTTTATCACCCTACGGTATGCGCTTTATGTCAATTGTATTTTATCTCGTATAAGTAGGATCCGCTGGACAACATTGTTAAGCTTTTCATCGCTTCATGCTTTTATTCCATGCATTTTCACATCTTTAATTAATCAAGTATTACTTCAATACATGCGACTCTCCGATATCATAAAGAGTTTATTAGTTATTTCTAATTTTGATTCTCATAAACAATTTTAAGATGACTATTTTTTGTAGGCGAAATAATTGTAAAAACCAAAGATGAAATTTTGAATTCGTTAAAAAATAACCAAAATAATTACTTTTGCAATTATCTTATCAGCTTTTCAGTTCGATAGAAAAATTTATCATGTAATTAAGTATTTGCCAATCCGACAAAATTAAGATGTGATTGTTTTCGTCTAAATTACTCGAAAATTTCAATGATAACAAACAATTAAATAATTTTTCCTATCACTTCAATTCTATATTAAGATATATTATACCGACTCTGGTTGCAGATAATTTGCGTACTATACCATTTCTTCACTATGTGATAAAACTCAAGATACGTGTATAACAATTCATAAATATTAACGAACGAATATATTTCATTATTTATACTTTTTAACAATTGCTTTAAACGCACAATTTTAATAGTTACAACTATATAATTATGTAATTATAATTTGTTTATAAATACATTTTCTCTCTCTCTCTCTCTCTCTCTCTCTCTCTCTCACTTTTTACAATCTCGGCTATTTGAGAGTCGATGATTAATTTTAAAAATGTCTCGTTGATAATTACCAATATTAATATTTTATAAAATTAAGTCTTGGAATATTATCTTAAATATTTGAAATGTAAGACAAAAATTGAATGTCATAACTGTTAATTATAAGCCATTTAAAGCGGGTAGCTTTCTTAACACTATTAGTAATATGTAATTTTGACATTATTTATGTTTAACGAAAAAGTAAGCTCGGCAGAACTCCATTTCGTTTTTAGTAATTTTAAGTTATTTACACTTTCTTGGTAATCAATCATAATAAAATACGGGCAAACAAAAAAAAAAAAAAAAAAAAAGAAAGAAAAAATTCTTCCTTTATAATGATTCAACCTGTTTGTACTCTAAAAAAAAATCAGTCAACTTTCTTATTGTAGATGCGAGAATAAAATTATGATAAATTAAAATGATAAATAAAGCAGTAAGTTTTATAACAGCTTCAAACGTGAGATAATGAGTCAAATTATATAAATGTAACATATCTCAAGAGTACATGAAATTGTTTAAAGTGCATTTCACAGTCTATCTTTACTTCTGCGGACATAAAAAAAAAAAAAAAGAATTAATGTAAAGATACAGTTTTATCATCAAATGAAAGAGTTACAATAATCTAAAGCAAGATTTATTATTTTCTGTAAACTGGCGTTTAAATGGTGCTATGTGCTCGAGTATTGATGAAATATGAAATCGAAATTTACGCGATAATAAACACATAGAAGGGAAATAAAGCAAAAAATGAATAACAGTCGAAAGTAGGCTTATCGCTTGCATACGCAACTTTTTAAAAGTAAAAATGTGAAAGTTTTATTCTGTCTGTGATGATCGCAAGAGTCTTCATAAGTGAACTGGGCTCG